TCTATGACTGAACTTGCATCCACTTCTCTCAACTCTTTAATTGTGAAAAATTTCTGTTTACATTCTCTTTAATTACTGACCGAAACTTCTAGGGTTTTTTACTAGACTTTCATTTCGCATTTCAAAAATTTAATACAAAGCTTTTGTATCTTAATGTCAACTTGGATAAAACTGTTAATTACTATTTCTTAATACGAAGCATTTTGTTCTAGACAAAATACAAATTATATTGCCATAAAGTTAATATATTTAAAAATGAATCTAATTGACAGAACTTTATAAAAAAAATTGTGGAAGACGTTTTATTTAGTTACAAATATACATTGTTAAATATAATATATTGTTATATATTAATGATTTATATGTTTATTTAGAGATATAATTACTTTCATGGAATATTAGTAGTGAATTTAAATAATTTAGAATAACTTATTCAACAATTTATTTACTTCAATAGTATTCCTATCATTAGGGATATGTCTGCAGCTATAACTATTAAAAAATAACTACAATAAAGCAAATGTTAGAAAATAATTAGCACATGTGAAACATTTCCTTTATATATTTTTCACTTTTCTTGATAAGCGCGTTAAAAGGTTCTTTGCAACGCGCAAAATATGTGTTTACCGAAAGTGCAATGCATTTGACACGCAGTCTGCAATTGGACTTCGATTTTGTTTACCCTCGTGTCAGTTGTAAAGAACACGGTTTTGGTGACATATTTTTTGTTATCATACTGCCAACGGAAAATGGTGTTGTCATTTTCAGAGTAACGTATTTCGATTTGATAAGACAGCTTCGATTTTCTAAACGGCACAAAAACAGATACTGAATAAAGAATGGACAATTGATAGTTCAATACACTTAAAACATACAAAAGCAACGAAAACTATTACTTTATTATCTAAAAACAGTTTAATTGTGCATTAAAGTAAAACAACTGTCCAGTTCCAATTTAATCCAAAAATGTTGTCGTATATAGTTACTAAGATATTCTTAAAATACGGCGAGGGGTGGAGACGGCAGGGGTTGCGGAGACCGAGGTGATAAATATAGGGATCGTATGCTGTGTTATCAGCTCCTTAACCCGATATATCGACATATTTATTGCTTACTTAGGCTTTACTTAGCACCGCAGGTTCTAGTAATTTTACCACCATTGCGCACACTAATAACTATATAAACCGTAAGTGGGATATTTTTATGAAATTAGTAATAAAAATAAATAATGTATGTTAATTAGTATAACAGAATTTTTAATTATTAGATACGTATTTATTATTTGGAGACGATAGATAGCATTCTGATCGAATGATTCTGAGGTAAAATGTTTTACTGTTTAAATCAATTGTATCTCCAATGGTAATTGTTTAATTGCATCTTTAAAATCATCTTTAAAGTACTTCTAAAACAACTTTAAAATTAGCTGGAAAAATAATAGCGTAAATGCCCATGTTCAATTTTATTGATTAACGTGAATTTGGGTTTGTCTCTTGACGCACCGTTGAAGTCTCCCGGCGTTTCCCTGCAAATAACTCAAAACTCACTCAATATTGACAACAAAAATCGAAACTTAGGGTCAACAACGCATGACAAAAACACATATGCACACAAACCCTAATAATATTTCGTTATCGTGTTATAATAAGGGATGAAAGTTAATCAATTTAATAAAATAAAAACTAACTAATTCTCATCCACTCCAATTTACTATCCCTTAATCTTTTAAATAACTCAGTAATGATTAGTAATCCTGTAAATGTTTCATTGTTAGGTCTGTTCACCCTCATTATTTATATTTATCAAGACTACACGTTTTAAAAGTGCTTTTGCTTTCGCTTTTTCCTCCGAAAAGTTTTCATCGAAATTCAGAGTGAAAAATGCAACTAAGTACCTACCCTAATTGTAATTCGGCGCAGCAGTTCCCTTTTCCGATAACGGGCAAATTACGTTCGTTTACCCTTTTCCCTGTCGCTTTACGTTCCGTGCCATCGCCGGCCCCCCCATTTCAGTCACTCGTTGCATACCACGCCATGCATCATTTTTCCAGACAGCCCTTACATTTGCACGTGCAATTAGAGTGTGCACTTTGTTTATCTCCGCTGCTTACGCCTCTCGCAATTAAAACTGGAAATGCCGTCAATTAGCAATAGCTGTGAATATCAAACGAATTTGCGTATATTCTGGAACGAATCCAAGAGAATTGGTACACATACAAAGGCGATAATGTTTGCATAATAACTACAAACGCAAAATTTAATCACACTTTTCCCTAATATATTTTTACGAGGTTATTCATTTGAAAACACTGCGGTTGCATTACTTTATTAGTTTTTTATGTGAGTTGACAATAACTTTCTATTGCATGATGCTCCCGATCGAGAACATAAAACTTAAAAACCCAGTAAAATCGTAATTTATATTCATCATATCCCCATCGGGGAACAATTTTACCAAGCAGTGCTATCAGATCGTAGATTTCGTAAATAATCAAAGTATATGCAGGTGGGGTTGAAGACGTAGAGGCGTAACGGGGGTGACTATGACAACTGGAAATGGTAACAGAGTGGATGAGGTGATCGTCGATTAGAGGGGGGAGGGTGAAGAAATGGATAAAACACTAAAAAATTGTTTTTAGCTTGGGTAGGGACGAAAATTTTCAACGATAGTTGTTAATAATACATAATCTGTACACACTCAATCATAAAAACCTAAAATTAGATGGTTAAGAACATAGTTTGATATATTTTTAACTCAAAGGCATAAGTTGCCAGATAAATCTAATGAATTTCGAAGGCATAACTCGCTTTCTATAAACAAATGTAGAAAATGTAAATAAAATAAGATGAATACAGACCACTTCGAATTATTTTATTCGATTAAGCTAACGTGCCTATCACGTTGAGGTTGGCTACGCCGGGATTCGTTTTCAGCAAGTAGATATCCACACAAGTTGACCTAGTTGGAGCATACGTGATCCTAAAATGTAGCATCGTGCTACAGATGGCGTTCACTGTGCCGTTTGTAGTATTTTCTGAAACGCACTGTTAGACAGCAGGTAAAAGTTGGTCTGTGTTCTGTCGGAGCTGCCTGCGACGCGCTGATGAGATCAAAAAAGATCGAAATCGCGATCCGCGTCTGGCAGTTTCGACACAATACAGGCCACTTCGAATTATTTTATTAAAACAAGATTATTCAACAGGACAATTAATTGTCTACTATTTCGTTGTTGAAAGTGTTTGTTACAAAAATTCCAGATTATAAGTTGCTCGAAAACCTTAGAGCGAACGTACAGACAATTTTACTATCTCACCTTTCATCCGTAACTTTAAAGGAGAAAGGGTACAATCCAATTTTGTATAATTTCTGAGGAAATTTCTGTTTCTTTTGCCACTACTCAATTTATTTTTAAGCGTCGGTTCAAAGTTCTTCCCGTGTTGTTTATTATTTTTGAGCCAGCTACAAACTACCCGAATTCATTCATAAAACGTCCCATGTTTTCCATGAAATTAATTTAATCTGGCTTTTAAAATTGAGAATTCATTGCGTACTCTTATTTTTTTGAAGTATAATAAGCTTTACTTTTTTTCAGGAGCTGCATTCTAGAAAGGAACTGGCTGCTATAGAGATTGCAACGGGTAAGTGCTCTTGTATAGGGTAGTAGCTGCATTCCGGAGGTTCTTTTAAGTGTGCAAAGAGGTAGCAGCGATCTCTGCATAGTCAGCTGCCTATGAAATATTCGAGCTGTGTAGGTAGCTACTGCATTAGAATGCACTTTACTCCGTTGTGAAATCTCAAAAGGAAAAGCGGGACGCGGACTTTAAGTTTCGGTAATTACCCACCTGCTCTCAGATCGCTTTTATTTCAAAAACGTTTCTGATATTTTTCATATTTTCACAACTTAAAATTAAACGCCTTGTGGTTTACTTCCACAAACTGCAACTTTGCAATCATTTTCTAGGTTTACAGTTTCCTTTTACCTCTATAAAATTAGAAATTAACAAGTACAACTTAACAGAAATAGTTTGGCCCCTGAGATTTCGAGAGAACGGCGCAAAAGGTACAAAAAAGTAGCAGTAGCAATTTCCCACTCGGAATTTGTGCTGTTTTTCAAATCGGGCCCGTATTATACCCAGAGTGGTCTTAATTGTTTCGGAAATATTTATAAGGAAACTAATAAACTTTTTTGAAAGCATTCTACCACCTTCCAAATTGGGTGAAAATCATTGTTAATTATACCTACCGTTGAAGTTTCGGATTTAAAGTTATTCTATGATAATAAGGGACGAGTTTGTATACTTTGTATATGTTGTCATGACGCGCACTGCTGTGCGTAAATATTCCAGGGGCGAACCAGTATCCGTCAAGTAATGTCTACTGCTTCAAAGTTTGTCTGAGATTAATAAATTTGTGCGAAAATGAATACCTTTACAATTTTTTATTCCTTTTCTTTATTTATTTTATTTACGGCGCTGTACGGGTGCGAAATATGGACAGTGGACGCAGCGGAAAAGAAAAGATTAGAAGCGTTTGAAATGTGGTGTTACAGGCGAATGATGAGGATACCGTGGATAGAAACGGTTAAAAATTGAGCGGTATTAGAAGGAATAGGAGAACAGAGGACTCTATGGAAGTCAATAAGAAAATACCTTCTCAGGCATCAAGATCTGGTCAGAGACATATTAGAAGCAGAAACGGAAGTTAGGAGAGGTAGAGGTAGACCTAGATTAGATTTAGGGAAGATTACTCTAGACAAAAATTTTCAGTCTCTCAGTCTTTCAGAGTCTTTCAGCGTCTCTGAGAGCGTCTCTCACAATTTTTCACAATCTCTTAGTTATTGCCTAGGTGTTTTTGTGGATCTCTCACAGTCTCTGTTTGAGAGACTCGAACGATAAAATTGTTAATCCAGAGATTCGAGTCTCTCACAGAGAGACTGAATGAATAAAACTGAAAAATTGAGACTCGAGTCTCTCGTAGAAAGACTAGGATCTCTGAAATATGTTGAACTTAGAAAATTTTAACCATGTCTATCGAGACACCACTTATTGAGAGATTTGAGTCTCTCGTTCAGAGATTCAAGTGTCTCGTTCAGAGACTGGATACGAAATGAGGATCTCTCTATGAGCTGACAGACAGTCTCTCTCAGTGACATCAGAGAGACTCAATGAAAGACGGAGATTCGAGTCTCGCTTTCGGAGAGTGAAAATTTTTATCTCGGGTAGCTCAGGATAGGAAAAGGGAGGTGCGTGTCCAATCAGTCTTAGGACTGAAGACCTTATGATGATGATGATTTTGATTAAGTAAATTGCACTAATCCTAAATACACCACACTGCTGTTGTATTCACTTAGGTACATTAAACTAATTCGGTTAATTAAATTGAATGTATAGGTACAATTCCATTTGTACAAATGAAATTAAATTTTTGAAATTGTATAGAGTGGGAGCATTTGGACTGTTGCAGCAATTTACCTGCTTCAATATTTAATAAGCCGTTGTACTGTGCACATTATCCACTGTATAAAATCGCTTACTTACTCATTTTATCGCATGGCCTGCATGATATGGTGCAGCTCGAGCGCGGTAACACAAGTAATTTAAATTTTAAATTATAGTGCTATGTGGATGGAGCAACGGACGTTTAAAAGAAGTTAAAACTTTTTATTCGAAAGTTTTGAAAGAGCCCTTTGAACCTTTCAGCTTACAACCGCCATTCGCGTGACGTTACCGCCCGGAAATTATTTCGGGCTTTTACTGCACTTATGTAAAAGTTGGATTGATTTTTTTTCATGAACTTCATCCATCACTAAAAGCATGTGGATTATTATTTTAGCTTCTTGAATTTTACTTTAATACGTAAGGAGATGTTGAAATATTTACCATACTAGTTGAAGCAAATAGTAGGTTATTAAGAAATATATATGCCTACGACTAAGTGAAAATGGTACTTAAATACCATTTTATGGCAAGAAGTGTTTATGGCATAACTAATGCTTATGTATTTATTTAGTATTTAAATATTGTCACCAAGCAGTAACAATAAGTGCAAACTCGTCCCAATTATATGTTCGCCTAGTCCAGCTGCAAAGTTCATTGAACAAGAATTTTGTCGTATACTTACAGAGCAAATCTTTTCAGATAATTTGAATGTCGAAAACTATACAATAAGATAACTTAAATTGAGTATTTTAATTGTAGAATTTAAAATAAAATTGTGAACGTTAATAAATGAATGAATGAGTTGTAGATATTTCCTGATTGTGAATTTAACGAACTCTAAAAGTCGTTTTAGTTAAAAATATCGAGTTTACATTAAAATCCGTTAATTTTTAAATGTTTAGCATAACTCAAAGCTGGAAAATTTTATTCGTGAAGTAGATTTAATCGTAAGATTCTTTGTTAAGTGTTGTAGCGGAAGTCGCGAGTAATGTAGCGAAGTTTTAATTTGCCTTGAAGTAAAATAACTTTCGATTCAGCTGAACTGTGAACTTTGCAAAGTTTACCGAAATAATTAGAAATTCACATTACAAATGCCAAGAATTAACTGGTTCGTAAAGCTTTGACGCGCAAAGAGTTAAGTAGCAAGGACGTAAAGTCAAACTTATCTTTTTTGTCCCTTCGTCAGACAATTCTACATAATACGTTACAAGACGTAGATAACATTTTCACCTACACTCAGTTTTTTCAGGTTGATTAGGGAAAATAACATTAGTGGTCTGTATTGGATTCTACAACGATTTCATTTCAATTTCTTCTAATGTGCATTCTTATTATCACCGTATAATAGGCAGGATATATTGTCACATGCGTATAGGCATCCCAACATACACGTTGACAAATACACCAAGTTTCTAGACGGCATATATTGGATCATTCTATAACTTGGCCAGCCTCTACGTAAATAGTTGTCGTGACATCGAGTAGACAGCACAAGTTGATGCAAAGCGAAAAAGTGACAAAGTGTTCTTGTACCTGGTGGTGAATTGATAACTAATTAATGGTAGAAGTGTTAATTAGACAGAAAAATGGTTAAATAAAGGTAGTAATATTGGAAGAAGGTGTTTAAATACGTGACAGCATAAAATTCATTTTGAAATAGAGCAGGGCTCTGATGTATAGGTCTGAAATGTGGATGATGGGTGCAGCGGAAAAGAAAAAGTTAGAACTGTTTGAGATGTATTGTTAAACAAGGTACCGTGGATAGAAACGAGGAGGTATTGCAAAAAAAAACACAGGTCATCATGCAAGTCAATAAGAAATAGACGAGATAGTTAGAAATAAATTGAAAAACAAAAACTTTTTTAAAACAAATTGTTTTGGCAAGCAACGAAAACAAAACAAATTTAATAATATCGTTATCTTGGATTATTAAATAAATAATCCGTAAACACTCCCAACAGCCCGTTCTCTCCTTCTCCCGTGGTTATTATAAATACTTAATTTAAGGCACTATATTTCATTTATTATTCTTCCTAATTCTCTGAAAAAAGACTATGAATACTTATAGTCCTTCGAAAAAATTGTGGAGTTGTTTCTATTTATAATTTACATTTATTGTTTCATAAAGATGCAACATAAAATCCATTACAAGTTATTTTTAAAACTCTTTTTATTATTCCAATTAATGTTTTTCAAAGTTTGACACAAAGGCGAGGGGATTCTTGACGGGTGCCAGACCAAATTTGGAATAATATTTCGCCTGTAAAATGTCAACTCTTTGTCAGAGACTGAACTTGGGGTGTTCTCTTCTTTGATATAGCTGCCCTTTGTTATTATACGTGTGACAAAAACAAGCATATCTGATTCTATTTCGGAACGTCACAATCTCCATCACGTCGTTCAGAAATGTGAAAGAAACATCTTCCATTCAAATCAGAACAGACATATCACGGGATTGTTGGGTGTAGTGATGCGAGATTTTCCCTTTTTCTCTAGACGATTTATGGGGAAAGTACGTATTTATGACGGTTGCTGCACGAGCACCCTAAATGTTTTATTAATGAAGAATTTTTAGATCTTTGAAAAGCGACAGCCGTAAAAAATGGCGCTCCGCGGTCCAATTTGTCACTGCCATGGAGCGCTTTGTAACCGACCTGCTGATATTCCGAAGCCTCCATTGTGCCCACGTTCGACGGGAGACATAAGAACGACTGAACAATGGAAACGCAACGTTTTCGGTATTAGTGCCTTCTTTATATATCACTTGGGCTATATGTGCCGGATAGGCTATATCGTGATGGAAAACGACCAAAGAAAAAACTTTCAATTTCCGATAATCTCGTTGATATTTAGGGAAACAATTACTTTTGATCGCTAAACACAATCTTTTATCCATCACATCTAAACATACCGCATGATAAGTTATTTACGATATCTTTGACCAACAAGTGTAAACGATTGTTACAAAAACTACACATGATTCGTTGATATAATTTTATAAAAGTTCGGATAAGTTCGATTATTTATTTGATCCATTTTAAAGCTATTGTCACATGTAGGCAACCCAACATACATACTGGATCATTCTAGAAACAAGACTAGCCTATATATATATAGTTGTCGCGAGTTCGAGTACGAGTCAGAACGAGAACGAGTTCGAGGCAGTGCAAAGGGAAGAAGAAGGAGCGAAGAAGTGACAA